TAAATATAAATCAAAAAAATCTTAAGCCCATAATAATTAATAAATCAAAACAATCTTAGTAACACCATAATTAATATTAAAATAAAAACTCCACAGCTTAATACGTTCTCCCAAATAAAACACAAAGTGAGAGAATATTATGCACACACACACACACACAAACATATATGTATATATATATATATAAGTATATGCACAATGCACATATATATACACTGCTCCTCAAAAGTTTGAAATCAGTAAGATTTTTATTGTTTTTCTTTTAAATAAGTCTCTTGTCAAGGTTACATTTGTTTGATCAAAATACAGAAAAAACTGTAATATTGTAAAATATTATTACAATTTAAAATAATGGTTTTCTATCTCAATACACTTTATAATATAATTTATTTCTGTGATGCAAAACTGCATTTTCCTCAGCCATTACTTTATATTTCAGTGTCACATGCTAATTTGTTATCAATGTTGGAAATAGTTGTGCTGCTAAATTTTTTTTTTTGGAACCTGTGATACTTTTTTTCTGGATTGGATTCTTTAATGAATAAAAAAGTTAAAAAGAACACCAAAATAAAAATATTTTGTAACAATATAAGTCTTTACTAGCTTTTAAAAAAAATCTATTTAACACATCATTTCTGGAAAATTTCTTTCCAAAGAATTGTTTCAAAAGCTTTCTATTCTAAATAAATGCTGTTCTTTTTTAGTTTTTATTTATTAAAGAATCCTGAAAAAAAGTATCACAGGTTCCATATCGCACAGAAAAGGGTGACAATATATTGCCATATCGATATTTTGTCCCACCCCTAAAATGTATTTGCTTCACCTACATTTGAAATGAGCGCATTAAAAAAAATCTGTCCCATAATGCAATGCCTCTACAGTATGATACTGTATTCCGAATGAAGAAAACTGCTGTATTGTATATTTACAGACATTCTGTAAAAGATACAGTATGTTAATGTGGTATAAAACTGTTTGAAATTCCCTGTAAATTTACTGTAAAGTTTAACAGTATTTTTTAAATAGTTTTCGGTTGGCAGTGAGCGTTTTGCGCGCTGTTTATGCACCCTGTGCGCCTCGCTGTAACAGGGCTGATGAGACGTGAGACGTGCGGATCCATATGCAAAGCTTTATTAGACAGAGACGTGGTCATAAGACAGGCAGGGTCAGAACACAGGCAAACAGGTATATGGCGGGCAAAACACAAGAACAGTCACAGGGCTAGCGAAGGACACCGATGGGCAGACAGAATCGGAAGGGACAAGACTAAGGGAGAAATCCAAGAAACCAGGCGAAGATCAAGAACCGAGAAAACAGCTAGGGCTAGGGCTAGGGCTAGGGCTAGGGCTAGGGCTAGGGCTAGGAAAATCACTAGGGCTCCGTAATGTAGCTATCTGGGGGAAGATAAGCGCTAGACAATACTCGGCAGAGGGAAGGGATCAGAGTGAGTGTTAAATAGTGAGGGAGTGATATGAAACAGCTGGGTGCAATCAGTGTACAGCTGTGTGCAATCTGTGCTGAGAGCAATCAGTGCAATGCATGATGGAAAATGTAGTCCGGGGTGATGTGCAACAGTGTGTAGTGCGAGAGTCAATGCAATAGGAAAGGGTGACCTCTGATGGCTAGCAGATGAAAGTTCATGGACCGGATTCGTGACACTCGCATTTTTGGAGGAGCGCTCTGAGCGCCTGAAGTTGAAAAAAAGCAGCTCTGAGCAGAAAAAGTGCTCGACGTCGTTCACATTTTTTTCCATTGTCCAATCGCATGAATGGAGAGGTGGGCCTTTCGTTGTGGTGCCGAAAGTTTACCGTTGCTTAGAAAGGCTGGAAACTGCGATGATGGAGGAGAAACTTTTGGTGTCTGTCGCTGTTACCCGGAGCTGTATTTTTTAAGGTTTCTGCTAATATGTAAGGGATAATCAGCGGCTAGCTGTGCATTAAACGATTTGAATCGTTTAATGCACAGCTAGCTATTGATTATCCCGCTTATGCCATGGTCATTTGCCAGCATTCACATATTAAAGATGTTAATAATATTTGCGCTGCAATATTTGACCGGAACGATAAAAATGACGGTTATTTTCGTCAGTTACAACTTGTTAGATGTAGCATTTTACTCACTTTAAATAAGACAGAGCAGACAGGTATATTAAGTAGTGCAGTAAGATTACATTTATTTGAAGGAATTATAGCATTTATTTGAATTAACTGTTGAGCGAGAAAGAGATGCGTTTCTCCAGGTTGAACTCAGCGATATGAGGGTGATGAACGCTGGTGTCCTTTCCATTTTTCCTGTAGCGCTTTATAATTGATTTAAAGATGGCATTGCTTGATTTAAAGTCTTTATCATTTATGATGTTGGGTTTTGTGATGTAACGGTTAATACCCGATCTGATACCCTTCAGGCTTGCAACACTGTATTTGCGGCCGGTAGTAGTCTGAACAGAGGCATAAAATTCTCACAATGTCTCATTAAGTTCAGAAGCAGAGTAAGTCACTCTCAACAGCATAATTTTTTTTCTTCTGATACAAAAAGTCTTTGAATGTGGTAATTGCCCATTTAGTAGTCTTTTTTGTGTTAACCTCATCGTTGTCGTCTTCAATCTGCTTCAGCTTTGCTGGTGTTATTTCCTTGTACCGTTTTTCTTTACATTTCTCGTTTGATGTTATATTCTCCAGTTCGTCCAGTTCATCTTGTGCCTCTGCCCGTTTATCAAAATTGCCATAATGACCGTATAAGCTAAATGACACGCGAAAATCATCCATTTAGCCTAGCTAAGTAAATCGGAAATGTTTACTGTAACTGTCTCACTCTGTATTACTATTCAACTGTAACTGTTACTATGGTTACCAATGTTTATAGGAAGCGCATTAATATAGAACGTGATTAAACTGACCTGGAACTACCTGTGCAGTTAAACGAATTTAATCAACACCTGCCAGCCAATCAGAATCGAGTATTCAGACAGACCATGGCATAAGACAGTTTACTTAACTGCAAAAACCAAAGATTTTAGAGCGTTCACGCTATAATCCTTTGATTAGACTGACAGGACAGCTGATTTGGTGGTTGCCTAGCAACATAAAAAGATTTTCATAAAACATTTTCAGACATAAAAACGCGTTCGGTGTGATCGGGGCCTAACACTGGCTAAGAGAAAATTAATTACAAGTAACAAGGACCAATTTCTCAGCCAACACTAATTGCCATAATGGTGACACTTACACTTTTTAGGCAGTATATATACTGTAGACTGCATTGATGTAACAGTTGAACTCTGAATACAGTGTTATCAAGAAATTACTCCCCGATTTAGTAACATCCTTGAAATATTTTTAAAATATGTTTATGTCATTGCAACCTACTCTTACAATCCCAAAATGCATGACCTGCTTATACCTTTCCTGTTTGAATCTCAAAGCACCCTGCTATAATCTACTCTTTTCATCTCCTTCTCTCTCCAGCAACAGCATTAAACGATTTGAATCGTTTAATGCACAGCTAGCTATTGATTATCCCGCTTATGCCATGGTCATTTGCCAGCATTCACATATTAAAGATGTTAATAATATTTGCGCTGCAATATTTGACCGGAACGATAAAAATGACGGTTATTTTCGTCAGTTACAACTTGTTAGATGTAGCATTTTACTCACTTTAAATAAGACAGAGCAGACAGGTATATTAAGTAGTGCAGTAAGATTACATTTATTTGAAGGAATTATAGCATTTATTTGAATTAACTGTTGAGCGAGAAAGAGATGCGTTTCTCCAGGTTGAACTCAGCGATATGAGGGTGATGAACGCTGGTGTCCTTTCCATTTTTCCTGTAGCGCTTTATAATTGATTTAAAGATGGCATTGCTTGATTTAAAGTCTTTATCATTTATGATGTTGGGTTTTGTGATGTAACGGTTAATACCCGATCTGATACCCTTCAGGCTTGCAACACTGTATTTGCGGCCGGTAGTAGTCTGAACAGAGGCATAAAATTCTCACAATGTCTCATTAAGTTCAGAAGCAGAGTAAGTCACTCTCAACAGCATAATTTTTTTTCTTCTGATACAAAAAGTCTTTGAATGTGGTAATTGCCCATTTAGTAGTCTTTTTTGTGTTAACCTCATCGTTGTCGTCTTCAATCTGCTTCAGCTTTGCTGGTGTTATTTCCTTGTACCGTTTTTCTTTACATTTCTCGTTTGATGTTATATTCTCCAGTTCGTCCAGTTCATCTTGTGCCTCTGCCCGTTTATCAAAATTGCCATAATGACCGTATAAGCTAAATGACACGCGAAAATCATCCATTTAGCCTAGCTAAGTAAATCGGAAATGTTTACTGTAACTGTCTCACTCTGTATTACTATTCAACTGTAACTGTTACTATGGTTACCAATGTTTATAGGAAGCGCATTAATATAGAACGTGATTAAACTGACCTGGAACTACCTGTGCAGTTAAACGAATTTAATCAACACCTGCCAGCCAATCAGAATCGAGTATTCAGACAGACCATGGCATAAGACAGTTTACTTAACTGCAAAAACCAAAGATTTTAGAGCGTTCACGCTATAATCCTTTGATTAGACTGACAGGACAGCTGATTTGGTGGTTGCCTAGCAACATAAAAAGATTTTCATAAAACATTTTCAGACATAAAAACGCGTTCGGTGTGATCGGGGCCTAACACTGGCTAAGAGAAAATTAATTACAAGTAACAAGGACCAATTTCTCAGCCAACACTAATTGCCATAATGGTGACACTTACACTTTTTAGGCAGTATATATACTGTAGACTGCATTGATGTAACAGTTGAACTCTGAATACAGTGTTATCAAGAAATTACTCCCCGATTTAGTAACATCCTTGAAATATTTTTAAAATATGTTTATGTCATTGCCACCTACTCTTACAATCACAAAATACATGACCTGCTTATACCTTTCCTGTTTGAATCTCAAAGCACCCTGCTATAATCTACTCTTTTCATCTCCTTCTCTCTCCAGCAACAGATGGAGTTCCCGTGCAGAAGGATGGGGAACAGGTAAGGGAGCTGCCTATTACACCAACATAAATATACTAAATTAGCCAAATCTCTCAACAGTGCTGACACACTATGACACTCCACACCACAAATTCCTCCAAGATGGAGGCCAAGGTGTCCAAAACAGGAAAAGATTATCTCAGTTAGGGAAGTGAGCCAGCTCTCCACCTTAACCGCAGAAAGACATTGTTAGCATAATAGCCTAGTTAACAGCATGTAGTTTAGTGCTTACCAGAACTGGCTTGTAGTTTGGTGTTATAGTCGTTAGCCTTTACTTTTGGTTAAGTTTGTGTGCAGAAAGCAGGCTTATAGTATTTGCCTTCAGCTATACAGTGAAACTGGAGACTGATTCTGGGTCTGCGCTTAAGGGAGGGATTATGATTTTTCTCAGTGGATGCTCCGTATCATCGACACATCACTTTGCTTGCTTTTATTTCTTCTTACGTCTTCATACATATTGCTGGTAAATTTGAATGAGTAAGCACATTCATTTTATCTCACAAAAAGCATATGTATGAGATGTGCACCCTCCCTCTCTCTTTCAAAGCTAATTCCATTATCAGACAGGGTTTGCTACATAAAGAAAGAACATATGAAATTCAAAAGGTCTTTTCATGAGATATATGTTTTTATCAATTGGTAAATACACAGTTCTGTCATCTGTGTCACCCTTTTCTGGTTTCGAAGTACCTGGCTGAACATAAAAATGATGAGAAAACAAGTGATAATCAGTGTGACAAGATTGAAATAAAACCCTAATGACAACAAACAACGTAATTCGAAAACAAGTTTAGATATGTATGCGTAATATTTCTGAATTTAACAAAATATTCAATTTGTACTATTTATACTACTATTTTTGTTACATACAGGATATTAGCAGAATTTTTGATTCTTCAACAAAAATAGTCCAAAATGAAGCCAAAGCAGAATAATATGGAAGGCAGACGGGGCTAAAAGTCTTTAAACACACTGTTTCAACATGCAGAGCAGCCAATGAAGTTGATGTATTTGAGACTGCTGTATATTTGGATATGTGATGCGATGGTACGTTGGTATATATGTACACAACACATCAGACGTCATGTTTATTCATGAAGAATGTCATAATGGTACACTGGTACGCATGTGTGCAAACATCATGCAAACAAATATTTGTATATTTGTTCATGAGGGATAATGCATGAGGGATAATTGGTGTGGTGGGTGTGATGTCAGTCCTATGTCATGTTCTTTTTAGTTGTTTAGTTCATCATTCTTTCTCAGGTTGAAAAGTCTTAATTTACATTCTAACATTAACTTTAGCACAGCAGTTATCAGTAAAGCAACGGCGCAATAAACTAAAGAAAAGAATGTGGGTAAATCTAGAGGTAAATCTGCTTTTAAAGGGGTCATATGATGTTGCTAAAAAGAACATTATTTTGTGTATTTGGTGTAATGAAATGAAATGTATTTATGCAGTTTAAGGTTAAAAAACACATTATTTTCCACATACTGTACATTATTGTTTTTCCTCTATGCCCCCCCTTTCTGAAATGCATAGATTTTTACAAAGTTCATCGGTCTGAAAAGCGAGGTGTGCTCTGATTGGCCAGCTATCATACATTTTACGCCCCTATCATACTGTGATGTCGTGTCCAAAACATTAAATTAAGAGACAAAAACATTAAAATCCATAATAAACGAGGCATTTGTTGCATCCAGTGGGGACATTATTATGGATTATAATGATTTATACTGTCTTTTTACGCGTTGCGTTGCATCGAGCCGTGGAAACATAAAAACAAGAAATGACAAACAACAAGCGCTACTCTACACTGCTCAAAACTCGCGTTTGAATCATCAGTGGCAAATCCTTTAAATATGAAAAACGTACTTACAGTTTGTGAGTCAGAACAGCCGGCATTGTAGTCTACTCTACCAGGAAACAGTCCTCCATAAAATGTGCTGCACACATCTGAATATTTGGGTTGAACTGTTCTGGAACAGTGTTGTAAATACAACTTAACCACTGATTTCTTGTGTCCTCTTTTGGAAGGACAAACAAAGTAGTTTCACTTTCATAGCGAAACACACAGCGGGCTAGAGTGAGCGGTGGCGGGCGGGCTTGAGGCAACCACATGTGACGACCCCGGGCTGGACTCCGCAAAGTTACGCCTTCTTTCTTTGCATCAACATTTGGGCGGCGCTATGCAAATCTTCCCACTTTGTGACATAGACATGTGGAGGCGTGTTAGACTGAGCCATTTTAGGTAGGCGTGACTGACTCTTAACTTTTATAAAGAATATCTCTTTGGATTTTAGACTTTAGTCTTTGTAACTTTACAGATCTTCTTTATGCACCAAGAGCTTGTAAAACTCCAAAGAGAAAGGAAAAGTTGAAATCGCATCATGTGACCCCTTTAAAAGTATCACACATTCGAACACGGCCAGAATGTGCAAGATTTGAGAGACACATCACCTTAGCACGGTAAAACATTCCATTCATAGACTTCTGGCCCCGTCCACCTTCCATAGTAAAGAAAACATTGAGTACCTCCAATCTACATACAGGGTTGGTGCTTAATTCCCAGATGAATCAGTTTTTTTTATCGAGTCGGAGTGAAGTTGATTAAGTTGATTAAGTTGATTCATTCATAAAGATGATCAAGTGTCGCCACCTACTACTGCAACAATGTAACTAACAGAAATAATTATTAAAATGTCAGGTACAACTTGACAAGTCTGATACTCCGAAAGTTTCAGAGAAATTATTAAAATTTTAAGAAAGATTATGAGGACAAACATTATTTCTCTTTGGAAACAAATGTACCGATTAATCGTGCACTATGGGGGTAGAATTGTTGCTTTATTCCAAATAAATAGATTATGATCCACAAATAAATGTAAAGAGATTAACAAAAATTAAACATATTGACGAATAAATAGAATTAGATCCACAAATAAATAAAATGAGATTTGCAAATAAAAAACATGTTCACAAATATCTTTTTAAGTCACAAACATAACTTTGCCTGGCATTAATTTGTGAATCGCGTCCCATGCATTTGTGGATCGCTCGCTGTGCATTTGTGGATTTTGAAACATTTCTAGCATCGAGACATCCCCCAATCCACAAATGCGTGGACTCCACCCACCGTCTACTCAAGCCAATCAGATAACAGCCTCACTTAGCTGACCAATCGTAGCACGTTCTCGCTATAGCCAATCACGGTTTGCTTTACAATCAGGGCGGTCTCGTCCTGAAATAACTTCATTCATCTCCTTTGGCTCAAATAAGAAATATAAGGGCCATAAAAATTGGTATAGTAAAAGATGTTTAAAATTAGATTTTGTTAGACCATTAGACTGTGTGTCAATCCAAGCCACAGGATTATAATTAACGTGCCTTTGAAAATGCCAGAGAAACAGCGCTTTAAATCAC